TGTGCATGGACTTGTGCGGCTGTGCAAAAACTACTGAGGCACGCGTGCCGAGACTTGGAGCTCGAAAATGACTATTTCAGTGATATGAGGCGCATGTGAGTATTTGCATTGGCTGTTTTTATGATGTGCCTGGTGTGTACAGTATGGGCCGCAGGGTTTGACCATGAGACTTGGAAAACATGTTGATGTAGGAGTGATATGTGCAACAGACAGGGACTAGGAGGAGCGGCAACACATCCTGCCGCTATATAGCCACATATTCAGTATAGAACGTCTGCACAGCAAACACCACACTGTAGGGTTACCTAGCAAAATGATATAGTTTATATAAGGTGTTTTGTGTTTTACAATTTGATGATATTTATGTAAAAACAGGCATTTTCCCCAAAATCGATTGCTCACAGCTGCTTAGTTATCACCTTGTAATCTTTAACAAAACGTCGATAGTTCTTTCCTTGTTTAGAATTACACTCATCTCTCGGGTCTGATGAGCTTCACTTTTACAGAAAAAAACTAATCAAGTTTTGTCTGTCAAAATTTGTCAGAAATAGTGGACTTTCTCTGCTAAAAGGGGTAAACGCACAAATAATAAAACAAGGCACAGGAACAATTTTCCTTGACTGTGTTAATATAGTTATAAGATCCAGAAAGCATATACAGTATATAGAGTGTATATATATATATTCTGTTGTAACAGTATGATTTATAGCAATAATGGACGCCTCTCTCCCTTATTACTCTGTTAAACAGTGGGTTTGCTGTAGTGAGAGGTTATCCAGCCAATAAAAGTGCCACTGGATCTGTATTCCTGTAATCTGTTGTCTGTAGAACACAAACAAGCCTCTGTTCTGACTGCAACCCAGGCTCTGATGAAAAGGAGCATCTTGCAGGTCTTCAGCTCAGGCAGAGGCTGTGCTGTTTCAGCTGTGCCATTGCTTGTGATAAAAGGTACATGTGATTTAATATTCTGGGTCCCATAGCAAGGAATCAAAAATAAAAACCGAGGAAGGGTTATTAGCTGGCTTTTAGGAACCCAGCTGAAAAAGAGCAAGCTGTTCTGAACCTTATTGTTTGTTGATCATCAAAGAAATTCTGTGATCACACTGCTACTTGTCAAAGTGAACATACATACAGTAAGTCAGAGGAGTGTTGTCACTCACTGTGCCACTTGGGATAAACCTGCCTTTTTTAGGAAATATGTAACCATCTTCCTCTATCCGAACGGGCACTGGGTTTAATTCTGTTTGCTTTGATTAAAATGTATGAGACTTAGAGTTAAAAGTTTCTTCCTCGCAACATGGATAGGCAGCCCAGGAAAATACAAAAGAGTATCCAAGAAGCCTCCTAGTGGTTGTGTGTCTTAAGGAGCAGTGCAAGAGTAAAGGAGCAGTACAGGGGATAAATTGTTCATTTACTTCATTCACTAAAAAAAAGTAACACCAGACCTAAAAACGTCCGGCTACAGAGTCTGTCTTTTTTGCTTTAAAAGATATTGAAATAATAGTAAATTAGTCCTGCTAGGCCAGTAATAACATCAGATTTGATCATTGTTAAGATGCAGTGAAAATCAGATGACTCTGCCAATCTTTAAGAACTGGATTTGACAGACCGAGTCCAGAATCTCATGGGTCTTTTTAACTCAGAAGGCTGACATATCAGGACCAGGGATGGGAAGTGTGGTGAGCAACTTTAAAAAGAGCACAAAGTTAAAAAACATTTATTCAATTTAATCAAAATGTACATCTCTTTCTCGTGGTAAGATTTGTCAAGTAGCATTGAATTTGCTTAAATCCTTAAGATGATTCATAACTGCCAAAACTGAAATGCAAAGCATGAACAGACATCCATAACAAAATCCTCTAAAAAGGACACATATATGTATTTCAGTCAGTCACTGCTAGGGAATTTATATATGCAGAGAGCTCATTCTACTCTCCAGGTGGTTCCTGATTCTGGCCTTGCATTTTAATCATCAGGAAAAAAAAATACAAATTCTTTGTCTTGGGATTTTATACGGAAATCAGCTGACTCATTCATTAAACATGGACTCAGTGGAAATATTTTAGTCCCTCGGGCACTGTACTCAACCAAGGTTTAGGAAATGGCAGAATGCACACAAATGAAGGGTGTTGACTTTTTTTTTCTTTTAAGAAAGTGATCAGTATTGTGGAGCAGTTTTAGCATTCCTGCCTCACTGCGCTTGGGCCCTGGGTTCAATTCTGGACCTGGGGTGTGTCTGTGTGGAGTTTGCATGTTCTCCCTGTGTTTGTGTGGGTTTTCTCTGGGTGCTCCGGTTTCTTCCCACAGTCCAAAGTCCTACTGGTAGGTTAATTTGGCTTCTAGGAAAACTGGTCCTGGTGTGAGTGTGTGTCGACTGGCGTCCCATCCACGGTGTACCCTGCCTTGTGCCTCTTGATTGCCGGGATAGGCTTCGGCTCCCTGTGACCCTGAATTGGGCACAGCAGTTAGAAAATGGATGGGTGGATTAGAGAGAGTTCCTTATGCAGAAATACAATAGGGCCAATCTTCTGATAGAAAGTAAAAGCAGTAGAGGAGGCCCCAAGCCAGAGTGCAAAAGTTTGGGTTGGGATAATTCATCCGGTGCTCCCTTTGGTTTTTTGGCCGGCTCCTGTGACATCAGTGAGGGGTGCAGCTGCTCCCCCAATGGGTGCTGACTCACCCGGCGGGCGCTGGAGAGCTAGCAGCAGTGCCCATGCCAGAGACTGTGCAGGCTGGCGCCTGACGAACATACGCGTCTCATTCTCTCCTGAGGTGCACGGAAGTCGCTGTCTTAATTGGCGATTCCACACTGGCAACTCGAGATAAACAGTAGTAAACAAAATAACTGCAGCAGTATTAAACATGGGGGTAAAAAGAGTGTAGGCCGGTGGCTCATCCTGCTTGTTTTGGTTCCCGAGAGTTATAAGATACCAGAAAATTCTTTCTGAATGAAAATTTCGGAAACCCTTTGCTGAGTGTCCACTGTGCAGCACCATCACAGGACCTCTGTGAAGTAAGCAAAGCAAAGAGACAAGTTTAACTTGTTCTAGAAGACCCAGAGGCAAGTTTTTATTCTCAAGTTTTCCTTAAGGACTTCGAATAACTCTTGGAATAATTTCTGTCCATATTAAAGCTGTACGCTAACACTCTGCCAGTCGTTGATGGCAGAGCTCACTGGACCAATAGCATTGTCCCCGACCTGCAGAATGCAGCTCTCCTTTTGAAGGAAAAAGTGCCAAATTTGGCATCGACTTCTTCCCATTTAAGATGAGCCAGCGGTGCTTTTGTCATCAGGCTCTCAGACTTGTAAACTCACAACCACCGAGGCCCAAAATAAAACAATACCTGGTGAAAACTTGATATTGTCGGGGTTGCAGGAGTGACTGTGAACCTGTGGCCTGGAGCCCAGCCGAGACTAGTGCTGTGTTTCTGACGGAGCTGGGCTTAGGAGCAGCAGTCTGAAACCTGAGGGAGCTCAGCAGGCAGCCCAGGAAGTGCCTGAGCCCACAGCAGGCCGCTTTCTGCTGACGCTCGGGAGATTTTGTTTTTGCAAGCCTGATGTGATATGACGCAAAGTTGAGTTGGAAGAAAGACGCTGAGACAAACCTGTTTGCTGTCTCAACTGCTCTGACATTACTGGCGGAGGAAGGGCTGCTGGAGACACATTCCCTGACTACTCCCACCACCAAACACAAAGTCAGCCGGCCCCGAATAATTGTAACAGGCTCTCCCTCGCAGTTTCTCCGTGGACGGTTGCCATGGGCACTAAAGTCGAAGCCTAATCCCAGGGGATCACTCGTCACATTTCCACTGCTGAATTCCCTGTTCTATACTGTCGCAATCTAACACTGAATTGAAAT